CCAAAACCATTGAGAACGCGAGAACAAAGTATATTCATTTGCGTTTTCATATATTCATTTTAGAGAAATGATAAATTTTTACCCCTTTAATTTCAATTGAAGAGAAAAAACATATTCATGTTGATTATGCGTAAAAATTTATCATTTCTCCACAAATGAATACATGACATCACAAATGAATATACTTGTTCTCGTGTTCTCAACCTTTTAGGTGTTCTCATTTGATAATTTCCGTATATATATATATATATATATATATATATATATGTATACACACACACACACTAGCCGTTTACCCGTGCCAAGCGACGGGTACAAATAATATCTTTCAAAAGATAGATTCCAGAGGCGATTAGTTTTTTAGCGCAAAGAGTTTATTACATCTTCAAAATTATCTATCCGTGCACCATAGATACCAGCAAGAGGATACCACAACATTAAAAGTATTAATGATAAATACTAGGTAACTAAACTCTTAATAATACCCAATCTTAGTTACTTAGGAAAATGTGAATAAGGTGCTAATCCATGAAATTACACTTTGCACTTTGTTTAAGTCGGTTAGTGGAACGTGTGTGGTTAACCAGCACACTAACTCGTATTTAACAAGGTAGGCAAAGGGTAACTTAATGTTTATCATAGTATCGATGGAGCGCATGTGGTTAACTGGCACATCGGTTGAGGGGTAAACACTTAAGGGTACCAAGTAATTTGCATGGTTACTTCACACCTTGTTTTGTGATCCTCGGCATCCCAGTCACAAAACCTGAAGGGCACACTCGAGATTGAAACATGCCATTGAAAAGTTCAATGAATCTCAAAGATCTAGGAGTTTCAAAACCAATTAAAACCTAATAATACATTTCGTTTATCTTGGTGGAAATTGGTGAATCGTCATTCACCTACCTTCAAATATTTTATAGCTTGGATTACGGCATCCCTCTTCTAAGTTATAAAATAGTTTGTTGGGTCCTAGCCTTAATATTTCATATTGGGTGTTATATTAAGGACTTTAAATCAATTATCTTGAATATCTCCCAAAAAGATGTCTGGTTTAGACATTTATGATCTTCCCAAATCTCTTGAAACAAGCTTTCCTAAATGAAGATGATGTCCCATGGAAATCATACTTCTTTCACCTCCTCCAAATTATTCTCCCTAACCCACCAGTTCTTGGAAAGTTTAAGGTCACTCAAGCCCTATTGGCAAGCAAAGGTCTATGTGTGGTCACATCTTGGAGATGTAGTCACATATTGACAAACCGGGAGAGTTGGGTGTCAAAGTCTTGAGAAAGTTGGTGCCTCAACTACTTTCTAAGTCACATAGTGAGTTCCTTTGGGACCCCTATGAAATAGACTATGACAAGACCCTTAATGATCTTATCCATTTTCTAAGATCAACTCCCTAAAACCTGTGGACATTGACAATAATGGCATTGGATATCAAGTAAAGCTCTCTCTTCCCAATGGAAAGGGATTGGCCATAGTCAACCCGGTTAACCAAATGGTAAAGAGAAAGGCTAAGTCTATGATAGTCCCATGTTCCATTACCAAAGCATCCATATGTTAAATTGCCAAAGGAAGGGGCATTGGTTGCGAAGCTGCCAATTTTACCTAAGGATGTTAAAGTCAATAAATTTAACTCTACTTCAGGTAAAGTCCACTATCTAACTCTGCTAAGTTTCTATTCTGAGATTCTTGATGTGACTGGGTCACATGTTGATGTTTTAAGAATCAAAGAGAATTGAAGAAACTTAAAGAAAGAATATGCTGAATCTGATTGCGTAGATAGATTTCTATCGCATAGTTTGAAGATTGGATTCTTGAGCTACTTCTTAGGAGTTATGATAAATTTCTTAGGAATAGATAACAACAAGTTTTCATATACATTTGCATTATAAGTATTAGTTTTTCCGTAAAAAATTTTAAATAAAAGGAAATTTTGATTTTATTTATTTTAAAATATCCTTAAAATGGCATATGTGGAAATTTTTGTTGCTTATAAGATTCCATTAAGAGCAAGAGTGGAAATATGAATTTGATTCTTTCATTCGTGGTAGTGTTTAAATTTACCAAATAAGGAAAGATTCTCATCACCCAAGTTTCAAGTGGACCGGAACTTGGAATCATACAATTTGTACAGTATGACGAATGAGAACTTTCAACTTTGGAAAATTAAGACTAGTCCTTGTTCACATGTATATGTGAGTCAAGTGAAGGACTAAGGGATCGAGCACACATTCGTGTGCACTGATTAAGTCCACCACAAAAGATTGATAAGATTATTCGTCATGATTTACTTAAGTTCAGTATATATGGTTATACTTACAAGTTTAAGTATAATTCTGAGACATTGGAAAATGTTCCAATGTATGATAGAGCGAATAAGAAGAATCAACTTAGGTAAAAGGATAAAAGTTTCTCAAATCTGAAAAGATGGGAGAGTACTTTAGTATTAGTTTTTGTGATCATCTTAATGATTAAGAAACGATGTCAAAATTAGTTCTCTAAGGAAATCTGACTGCGTTCTTATGACTAAGAAGAGGAACTTGAATGGTTGAAATGGTTAAATCAAGAAGATGAGTCATACTTCGTTACAACACAAGTCTTAGAGTCATACTCCAAGATTATAATTTGAGTGACATGTCTTAAAGAAGGTTTAAAACACTTGTCAAATGTAAGAGTAAAAGTTTTCTACTCTTGCACATTTGAAATTGGTAAGTTGTGATGTTTTGGATAAAACAAAGACCAACTAAGGCAAATTGTGTGAAGTATTTTTCTTGATTAGAATCCGCACTATCTCTTGGATGTTTGACAAGGGAGTCTTATAGGTCAAGAGGACAGTAGGAGTCTTAAAGGTCTTGAAAGTATCAAGAACTAATCAAGAATAAAACCTGAAGTTCCTCACTAGCACACGGCTTGAGTTTCATAAACTATCGTATTGACATATTATGTGCCCATTCCAATTAAAGTTGGCTTTGCATATGAGTTCTTAGAGTTCTCAATTGGTTGCACAAACAACTTGGAAGCAATGGCAGGCCCTTGAGCTGCCAGGTGCACTACTAGAAAAAAGGCCTTTTACATCGCTCATTGCGCGTCATAAAACGCTCAAACGATGCGCAAATGCGCGTCAAGGAAGGCCCTGTCATAAAGAGAGACGACCCGCATTTACGACGCGCGGTTATGACACGCAATGCGTATCAAAGAAGGCCCTGTCATAAATGAAGATGACACGCATTTGCGTGTCGTAACCTTACGACATGCGTGTTTATGACACGCAATGCGTATCAAGGAAGCCCCAGTCAAGAAAGGCCATGTCATAAATGAAGACGACACACATTTTTGCGTATCGTAATTTTAATTTTTTTAAATATATTTATTAATTTATTAATTTATAAATTAAATTTGCATTTAATCTCTCATAATAGACATAAAATACAATATACAAAAAATACAATCCATTTCATAATATAAAATAAAATACCATATACGAAAAATACAATCCATTGCATTTAATCTGTATGTATAACAAAGACACATATGTTAAACTTATTACCATTAACATCTGATTCATAAGTCCTTTCAACAAGATTGTTACCTGCATAAATGAAAACAAACAGGAACATTAACAGCCCAGCTATGAACAATTTCACAAGATGCGCCAAAAATGATGATCATTAATAACTCCTTTCAAGGATAATTTGGTTTTGATAGAAGATTAAACTAAATACAAATCATAAAGAATCTAAAAAAAGTCAAATGGGAGACTGCTATATATTACTCAACTTTATGATCAATTTGAAGCTTACTCTTGTGGTCTAATAAACTGTGTTTGCAAGTAAAACTTACACATGGTTGCTTTACCAATTGGTTTTGACATGTTATGATAGTTTTTTTTGGAAGCAACAATTCATTACCAAATGGGAGACTCTTATATATTGTACATATAATTCTAGTAAATTCTACCAGAAGAGTGCATGTGCAGTTTAATCCTAGACACAAATATCCTAGTATTCATCATATTTTATCTATCTATGATACAAAATAATCAACATGCCATTGAATTTATAATAGGGGTAAAGTCGGAAAAACTGCAACAAACTATACCCATTGTCCCAGATTAGTCAGGAACTTTTTTTGGTCCACATTAGGTCCTTGAACAAGTATTTTTGTGGCTATAGAAGAGTCAACATTTTAAAGTTGACTTAACCTGTAAACCTGCTATTGCCAACCCATAAGGACCTAATATGAAACAATGGGCATAGTTTGTTGGAGTTTTTCCCTTTATAACAAATATCAGGCATTATTTTAGCAGCAAGTGATGGAACATGATATGAAACTAACCTCCTTGGATGTTGTGCTTGTAGCAGGTGCATTTGATGTCTCTATTGGCCTAGGGAAAACAACTGTTACCCGGAATATGGTGGGCCATTACTGGTATCTGAACATTTCACGTTGCCTCTATTGTCATACACTCTTCTGTTTGTTTAAACAAGTTATTGGTGTATTAATAATTATTCATGTCAAAGTAAAGAGAGATACTTGCCACAAAGCATAAAGCACATACTATCAATACAAGCATAAAGTAAATAGAGAACAAGAACATAAAAAATACTTTCTTTCACGATCACGATCAGGTTCTCTAATTTCCCTTTATTTTTCTTTTTCTTTATCTTTCTTTATCTTTAACCTCTCTATCATGGCTCTTTTCCCTGTCCCTTACACTCCCATGTCTTTCTGATCTTGCTTCCACTTCGATGTGGTCTTTCATGTTATTTCTCTTTCTCTTGATCTATATCTTCCCTTTCTTTCTCAGGTTCACGTCCATGTTCCCTTTTTACCCTCACTTTGTCCCTTTTCCTATCCCTGTCACCACCTCTGTCTCTTTCTTTTTCTCTATCTTTATCTCTACCCTTTCCATTTCTGTCCTCCCTGCAACTATCTTTATCCCTATCTCTGTCTCTTGTTTCACGGGTACCCTTTTGTTTGTCTCTATCACTCCTAACCCCATCTTTTGGAAATGAACGATGGTGAGAAGAGCGTCTCAGCATCCTCTTCTAATGAAGCCCTGTAATATTTATATTCATGTACATTCTCATGTTATGCAATCTTTCTCATATATGATATATCCAAATCCAAATGCTAATCAAATGGAAATGCTAACCTGTCTTACTCCCAAGGCTGCTTACAATGGTGTCATGTTCTTATAAGGAACCTACAACCTCATATTCAGATCATTCTTAACTCTATATGTATGATAATAAGTAAAATTGTGTATTTAATTATTACCTTGGCTGTCACAAGCTTCCATAAAACAATCGCAAAACTGAAAACATTTGCCTTTTCATCAAATTGTTGATGATTTATAACCTGCAAACCACGACAATACATAAGTAGCTCCATTCATCATGGTAAATTTAGAGTTTAGAGGATGATTCACAAATTAGTTAGGGTTTATCAGTGAAAAAGGAAATATCTTCAAATATTGTATGTTCCAATCTTTGCTGTCATAACTCCCCCTTGACTCAGAAACCGGGCAACCCCAAAATCTGCCACCTTCACAGCCTAAAATTAAAATGTTAAATTAAATTTAAAAAAACAGAGAAACGGCTAAGAAGCTAATTAGACAACACCATTAGTTTATATTGTTTAAGATTTGGCTCCACACTAGCCTTTATACGCTCATATGCTGCCTATAAGATAATCCAAAATCCAAAACACATGATAAGCATATTACAACAATTATTGTGATGGTTAATATAGGGGTTTAAAAAATAAAACTTACCTCATCAACATATTTGTAAAAGCTAACATGAATATTCAAACCAAATTGCTTCTAAGTTTCAAACATAAATAAAAGAAATTAAAAAAAAAAAAAGACTTATAGCACACTAAATGTACCTTCACCTGTTGATTCTGCCAACACTGACACACCACATGAAGCCACCATGACTATCCTTGAATCTTAAAAGAATATATGTGATCAAATTCAATTGAATGTTAATCATTAGAAAATGAAGTATAAATAAAATGTATCTCATTTTAATCATAGGAATTGAAACTGATATTAAAGTTGGTGTTAGCAGTGATTCATGATTAATTAATAACTTATATTTCACAAGTTCTACAGTATTGAACATGTTAAATGATTTTTTTCTGGATATGTAGAAGGAAGGTTGAAAGTAAAGCTTGACCATGTCCAGGGGCATTTCTGATAAAAAATCATCACCATAGTGAATTTTACCTTAAGACCCTCACTCTACACAATGTTCCTGGTCATGGCCATATCCATTTTAATTCAGGAGGGTATTCATGTAATTTTGTGCAACAACATTAAAAGTGGTTAGTAGCTTTAGATTTTGCCTCCTAGACCTTAGCTTCCCGACTAGTAAAATCAGTGGGAGCAACATTTGGGTCTCGGGTTCCCTCCTCTTCATCAGAGCCAGTATGGGACCTTTTGTTTGCCCCCCAGACCCACTTGCGATTAACTCCAATAAAGATACTATTTTTTATAAAATCAAGGTTCCTGTATAAAAACAAGCTGTGAACTGTGTGGAATGCATGAAAGAACTTTGGTACCTTCAAAATAAAAGGTCATCATATCGTTTTAAATATGTTTTCAAAACTTTCGACTATACTGTTCTGCTTAGCTTCTACATCATTAGTTCAAGAAAATATATTTTTTAGAAAGTTAGCATTTAGAGATTGAAACAATTGACTGGAATTACAAACAATCAAATCAAAAGAGCTAAGAAAAGGAAGGTATCTTCAAACAAAGAACAATCACAGATTCTAAAGAAGGAATAAACAGATTGAAATGAATTGAAAGATAGTCTCATAAAGGTAATGGAATGAAAAAAAATCAGAGAGTGAAGAGTGAAGTTGGATTTGTACCAGTTTTAGGGTTTCCTTTGGTTACTCCCTTCACATCTCCGACAAACTTCATCTATAGAGGAGAGAGATGAGAGAAAACCTGGTAGAGGGAGCGAGATGAGAAGGTGGATGCATCAATTAGGGAGAAAACAAACTCAGAGAGTGAAGAGTAAACTCAGATTTAAGAGAAGCACCATTTTTAGGGAGAAATCGAACCAGTTGGTCTTCATTGTTGATCTTCTTTTCCGCCATTACTGGCTCCTGAATAGAGAGAAAGGGTAGGGCTTAGGGTGATTTGAAGAGTTGTAGTCGCATGTGTGTAGAGGTGAGCCTCAGCTCGCTGACGAGGTGAGGTGAGACCGAGGTTGCCGATGAGGCTGATCAGGTCGTTGACTGGAAATCACTCGTGAGGGGTATGGAAAATCGTTTTGAATTATAGGGTTTGTAAACGTGGGGAGTCGTTGTAGATGGAGTAGGGTAGAGGTGAAGAGGAGTGAGCGGGGTACTTCAAAATTTTGGGGGATTTTCCCCCTTTAGCTATTAATGAAGGATCAGACTCTCGTTCTTACAACACAGAACGAAGCCAACATAAAACCATGTTTCTAGTGGTGGCGGCTGCTAGGTTTTACAGAGAGAAGGAGGGGAGAAAATGAAGGTCATCGGCAAGTGGAGAGGAATGAATGAGCGGGTCCTCCAAAATTTTGGGGATTTTTGTCGATCGATCATTTCCCGCCTAAAAGGCGTGTTTCATTAAAAATTTATAAAGCGACATACTTATATGACGCACATTTTATAAAAGGCGCCCTCCGCATTTCCTTTTTTTTCTTTTCTAACACTAATTAGGGCACAAAAAAATGCGTGTCTTCTATCCTTCAAATTTTGCAAAACTAACACTATTTTTTAGGGCACCCACAAATGCACGCCCTCTATCAGCGAGTGTCATTGTTTGCGCGTCATTAAAGGTCAGTTTTCTAGTAGTGGTGGCAAGAAATTAAGATTGAGTTCAGTCTATATGAGTTTGGATTAGTCATTATCCTTGTCTTGTGACTATGGTTTTGACAATTCACATGGATAAGAACACATACACCATTAAATCTAAGGGTCATAAGGTTTCTCTCCGATTCATGAAAATGATGGTGAGGAAACACTTCCACCAAGTGGATAGTAATTGTGATATTTGCATTCTCCAAGTCGTTAGTGGAGCTATGTGGTTAACCGGCACACTAACATGGACTTGTGATAAGTGGCAAAATGGTCTAAACAATTGAGACTATGATTACGGCATCCCTTTTCATAGTACTGAAATTGTTTAGACACACCTGTGAGCTATCTAAGATAAGGTGTATGATTATGATAAAGTTTTATCAAAGCAATATAGTATCAGAAATCTGAACTTTGGTAAGAAAGTCAATAAAGTATTGATTTCTAGAAGTCCAACTAATTTCTGAGTACACGTCAAAGCTAGTGGGAGCATAACTGTTATGCTAATAATCATCATGTTAGTGGGAGCATGATAATTATGATAAGTGTTGCAAGTTAGCAATATTAATTATGGAAAACAAAAGGTTTCAATTAGGAAAAAGTTGTTTTGCTATAATTAAGGGAGAGGAAATTATACTTCAACTTAAATCTATAAGCTTAGATCGTGAGGTTTTAATCATTTAGTCAAGAATATATATATATATATATATATATATATATATATATATACACATATATATATATATATATATATATATATATATATGAATTTCATATTGGAATGGCTCAACATAAGGAAATTCTGTATATGGGTCCATTATTTGCGTTCTAAAATTCGATCATGATTACGGCATCCCTTTTCATAATCTTAATTATGAGAACTTGGAAAATAGAAATGGAAATGGTATAGCAAAAGACTGGTTTAGTCTTTATGTGAGACATCATGAATCGTGTCCCATATGCTTCGGATATAGGATCAATTACATGTGCTATATTCATCCTTTCTAAAATTTTCCAAATGTCTGGGGCATTAAGAAGGGAAAAGGTCTAGAATTGGATATGACTAAACGGATTAAACAATTGTTGAGGATAATCTAAGGTTTACCAAATATTGGTTTCTCAAGGACAGTTGGAAGTATAGTGACAATTCTGGTCAATAATCTGTAAGGAGATAACTCTTCTTCAGAAGTGATAGTCAAAATGGAATCCGAAAATGTTTCAAAGTTAGAAATTATTCAATCTGTGTAAGATTAGGAAACTTAATGCAAGAAGGATGTTTCTAAGGAGATGATCTCCTTTGGAATGCTCTGTAATGGTTTTTGTCAAGTCTTTCTGACTTTGTGCATAATCATTACAAGAGGATCAGTGCATATAAGTTTAGAATCTAATATATTTCAGTAAATGGCATGAATTTGGAATTCTTGCATTTGCAGTAACGATTTGGGATTGTGAATGAGAATCTTTGGAATTATGTTCAATTGATCTATTTCACAAAGTAAAGATCATAGACAAACATAGTATGCATACTTGGTGTGTGGCATGACTAGTGTTTAGAATACATAGTTTTAGACTTATCCAAGTGGGAGACTGTTGGATTAATGTATAAGTCCATAACTATAATTGGTAAGACTTGACCCAGCCCAACATGGTCCATTTGGGTTGCATGGCATCATGCATTTGGATAGACTATAATGAGAGAAATAACACTTAAGGTTGATTAATATATTATAAGTTCTAATATATTAATAGGATTATTTAATTAGTATTGATCAAGAATTAATCTAAAATTAATTAAGTGATCAAAAGAAGACTAATTAAATATATGGGTTGATTGTGTAAATCATCCATACTTGTAGAGTGGGCTAATGTTCCATGGATAATCAAGTTGGGCTATAACCTATAGGATGGTCCATGGATGCTCCATGGTGTATTTGAACCCATGGATCCAAGGAAATGGAAAGCCATGACAATTAGGGTTTACCCTAATTGTAACACACTATATAAGCATCACATTATTCATCAAAATCGGGCACTAGTGTGTGTAAAAGAAGGGCTAGCCGATTTCATGAGTTGTGGATTTCTCTCATGTTATTCCAAGTGTATTTGGTGTTGTGTGAACCATTTGAGGTGTCATACTTGAGGCACTAGGCACTCAAGCTTCATGAAGACATTCTACATCAAAGAGGTATGTATTCTATCTTTTTATATTCATTGTTTTGTATGCTAGATTAGGATAATACCTTGGATGTTCATATTTGCATGTATAATAGAGAAAACATAGATCCAAGGTATTTAGGGTTGCATGTACACTTAAAAGTGTTAGAATGCTCAAAACCCAACACATTCATCTCAGATATCATCTTCCAGAGGTACCTAAACCGGCATTTTCCTTATAGATCTCCTATATTGGTTGATTTTTAGGGTTTTCTTGGAATATCAAGTTGGTATGATGAGCTATGGGCGAGATCTGAAGTTGTAATTTCAGACCTGGACCCTCTTCGGATTCTAGAAGCATAAAGTTATAGTTTTGGTCGTGATTGAGGTCCCTCTTGGCCATGAAGCCCCATTAAGAGCTTAGATTTGGCATTTGGAGCATTTAAAGCCATGCATGCACGTAAAGTTTGCAACTTTACGTGATAAGAATGCCCTAGAAGCTTGGATCTGTGGGTTGGAGCCGTTGCATGGCTCAAAATAGGTCTGTATGGAAAAAGTACTGAATGGACTCGGCGAGTCACAACGTTGACTCGGCGAGTCACATGAACATGACTGTGAACTCGATGAGTTGGATGAACAACTCGGCGAGTCCAATGACGATTGCCATAGACTCGACGAGTTGAAGAATAACTCGGCGAGTCGGATGAGTTTTCTCCTGGATATGTATGTGTGGGTATCCGTCGAGTTGCAAGGAGGGAACTTGACGGGTGGCCTTAAAGTTTGATCGAGAAACGAAGGAACTCAACAAGTCACCCTGATAACTCGGCGAGTCGGAATGTGCTTCAAGGAACTCGGCGAGTCGAGGTCAACATGGACTGTTGACCTTGATTGAGGACTTTGAATTTGATCAGGGGTTGACTAGTGGGTTAGGGAGTACCTTATAAGTGGTGGAGTCTGTGTCAAGTGATCCGAGAGTTGGAGCTTACCTTCCGAGTCGACATCTGCGAGGTGAGTTATCCTTACTATATCGATAGGGTCTACGGCACCAAGGCTGGCCTTTTAGTTGTTATTGTTATGGTATGCTATATGTGGTTATGATCTATTAGTTCGGAATTAGGGTAGACAGTATGTTATGCCCTTATGATCCATAGGGATTGGTATGTTAGTGACCTGCTAGGACAGTACTCTAGTTATGAGAGAATTCTATGATTGATGACCAGTGATAGATATGCTTGATGTTTATATATGCCAGTATATGATAGTTATGCGTACATAGTATTTGCTTGTTGGTTGGGTTGAGGTGGTCCTGCTTTGTGCTGTAGGCCAACACACCCTATGAGCAATCCGGGGAGACTGTAGGCCCACGTGGCGGACCAGTCATGCCGAAGGCTAGGCATAGATCCAGATAGACTGTAGGCCTTATAGGGCGGTCCAGTCATGCCGATGGCCCAGTACGCATGTTGATTGATTGATTATTACAAATATGGTATTGTCAGTGTGTGTGACATCCCCAAAATCACGGCCAGAAAAGACCGGTTTTGTTTATACTTTATTTCAAAATCAGAGTTATCTTTTAATAAATGGTTTGCGGAATTTGTCCCAAAACAATAATATGATAAAGATTTATCAAAAGCATTTCCATAGAAATGTATTCATTAAAAGACTCGGGATGTCATGTTCGTACAGATCAAAAGTATAAACAGTACAATATAAGCCTTACTACATTATTTCATATCTACAGGCCTATATCCGTAATCCCTCGTCCAAAACATCACACCTATGCTCATGTGCCACTACCTGTAATACATAAAACTGAGTGGGTCAGGCTTGGGAGCCTGGTGAGCACATAGGGTTTTCAACCCACAATAAATAAGTTTATTAATTTCATCAATCAACAATAGCCCGATTACCCGTTCCCGTTATCCTCACTTTACGTCCCTAAACACCTATCATAAGGGACCTAGCCTAAGGATCATCATCGGGACGGACACTACTGCTAAGGGGATTCCTCAGCAATAAATGTCCTAATAGGCAACCATGTGGGGGATGGAGTACACCGGTGAACACATCGTTCACAACACCTACAGGTTGCGACCTGCTAGTGTTCCACTGGACTG